AGAAGAAGAAGAAGACTTAGCTCAGACCTGCAGGAGGTGAAGGAGGAGGCGAAGGAGGAGGAGAAGACTGTTACTTCACAAACTCATGTTCAGCTGAAAGTTTGAAAAACGTCCAGATTAAATAAAAGTTTCAGTTTCTTTATTTCTTCTGTTTCTTTGACTTCAGTTTTGATGATGTCACTGTTGGTTTGTATGGAGGAGCTTCTGTGATTGGAGGAGGATCACCGCTCTGATCAACTCGTCTCCTGTCTTCTCGGACCTCACTCTTCTCTGTAGTTTCTCTTCAGGAGCTTCAGTCAGGAGGATTCCATTTGACCACGTCTCTGGTGGAACTTGATCTAATGTCATTTCCTCTTAATGATTATATGAAGCACATGCGTCAGATTACAGAAGATTTATAAATATCACCGTCACGTTTCCGTCCAGCGGAGGAAACGTTTACAACCAACACCAGCGTCTGATGCGTTTCCCCAGTGAACTAATCCCAGCTTCCTTTACGTTAACTTACAGAATAAAAACCTGTTTTTATAGTTACTTTTAATTCTTCATTTTCAAATCTAAGAACAAGAGTTTGGGTAAAACTATTTTACAATCACAAGAAACTAACCCTACAAATAACCACATTTCACTTCTGTAGTTGAAATAAAAAGTTAGAGTCGTGTGCCGCTGCTGAAAAACAGCAGTTAAAGAAAAGAAAAGAAAAAGTTGTGAAATGAATGAATCTGTAGATTAAACAAGATGGAGGTGAAAGAGAAAAACAGATTTATTGTTTCCTCCAGATGTCAAATGTCTTGAAAACATAAGAAACATCTGCTTCAGATCTGTGTGGATTTGTTTCTGAATATTTTGGCGTCATGTTTTTTTCTACAACTTGTTACTGATCCTGTCATTTTGTAATTTGTTTGTACAATTTTATTTCTATAAACTATTCAACATAAACATCTTCATCCTCTGATGTCTGTGATGTTCAACCCTTCACCACACGAGGGCAGCAGCAGGTCACAGTAACAAGGACGACCTCTCAGCTTCAGCTGAAATTCAAGTGTCAAGGTCAAAGGTCACTGTGACGACCTCGCTCTCTGACAGATGTTCTGAAAGCAGGAAGTAGAGTCACACACAGGAAGTAGAATTCAGGAAGTAGAGTCACACACAGGCCTCAGGTGCATGTTTAGTGTTAGAATTCACTTTTTTAAGGATTTTATGAAACGTCAATGAAGAAAATTAGAACCACACACACACACACACAAACGGTTGTACTTCAGTTTTATTGTTCTGAGAAAATCAATACCAAGTAAAAAATAAATTACTCCCTTGATTTTATATTTTAAAGAACCTGGTCCGAGGTGCAGAGGAACATTTGTGTTCTCCTCACAGACCTGAAGGCCTCAGCGACACTGACGACGTCCACACTGAACTTGAATTCCAGGAAATTTAGAAAATGGAAAAACACATTTCAAGAGGTAAATAAATGAGGCAATAACTGGGCCTGTTCATAAAACTGGTTTCCAGCAGCGAAACAAATCAAATGAATAAATGCAACCGAACACGTTTCAGCTTCAAACAGAAACAATGTCTCCGTCTCTGCGTTCTGCATAAAATATGAAAAAATTAATAATCGAGACCCGGAGACTCAAATTAAATCAAAGCTTCATGATGAATGTGACAAAATCCAAAGATATGAAAACAGAATCCAGACGGAGGGAAACAGCCGTCAGTGGTAAGAATGAAACCATTTTTTTTCTTTCGTCCGACAGCCTCCGCTGGTTCAACATCCAGAAACAACAAAAACAAATTTACAAGGAAATATAATAATAACTCTCATTTCGCGCTTTTACAGTTTGTCCCTACAACTCGATTCTTCTCAGATACAGAGCGACATTAGCATGAGCTTAACACTGCGACAAAAACTGCACACGTCATAAAATGATCTTTATACGAAACGGTAAAATGTGTCCATGGCTCCAAGATCCAAGACCAATGAAAGGAAACGATACATCACAGAAAAAATGGAAAAGACTAAACCATGCAACAAAAAAAAGACATAAATAACAGTTTTTACTGTTTTCTGAGCGGCTGCACAAATTGGAGCCATAACAATAAAAAAATAAAAATAAACAGATGTAAAAGAAACTGAGATTTTAAAGTTTTAGTTGTTATTACAGATCAAAGCAAATCTCTTTGATTTTCTAATTTGGCTTTGTCAAAAACCATCGACTGTAAATAAAGTTGGACGACACATCTCCACATCCTCCCACAAAGATGAAGCCAAAATATCCGGGACCGACATCGTCTGTGCTTCAGAGTCTGTGCAGCAGCAATCATCCCGCCCACACACTTGCTCGACCAATCCTGAGTCAGTCTCGGCCGTCAATCTTGACATCTCAAATAACTGATTCAAACCAAACTGATCAGAAACACTTGAACAAACGTCAGTGAGATAAGAACGAGCTGAAACGACAGAAACGTTTTTTATAGTCTACTTTGATTGTTTTGTTTGGTCCATGCCCCATCTACCAACCTGGAGGAGTTTATATTCTGATTTGGCTTCACTTTTTGGGAGCAGTGATGTCGTCCATCTTTATTTAGAGTGTACTTGTTATAAATATTGTGGGTACATGTTGACATACAGTGTTTGTAGATAAAATCTGAACAAGAGTATTTGTTATAATTAGTTTTTCTTTAATCGAGTGTGAAGTTAAATCTGACGTCTCGGAAACTAAAAAACAGACACACACATGACGAGTGACGGTTTGTTGGTTTGTTGTTGTGTTGCACTGAATTAACACAACTCTTTATCATCACTGAAGATTCCAGCCCGACAATCAGGAGGCACTTAACCAACCAGGTCAATGATCAGCTGCTACTTTGAGACGGAACCTTTTGTTTTACAAACTTTGGATGTGATGCAGAAACGGTCAATTCTGTTTCCATGGAGACACTTTGATCTCCGTTCTCTTTTGAAGTGTCTCCGCTGAGACAAAAATCACAAAAACAACATCAAACGGTTTCTCAGAGTTAATTCGATGGTATAGATGAGTTAAAATAGCCCCGCCCCCCCCCCCCCCCGATGTCCGTATCAAACCCTCCACGTCAGGCACTTGTTGATTAGTCCACGAGGGCTCCAGACCGTCCAATCAGAAACAGCTAGTTGCCCTCTGTCCTCCAATCACCTCCTCTCAGTTAGTTAGTCCCGGCAGCGCCTTCACTCCTCTCTTTAGCCTCCTCTCGGGCCCCACCCTCTGCTCCTCCCCCTCTAGGCTCCGTGTGCTGCGGCGGACGCCGGGTGACGTCAGCTCGATGTCGTCCAGGGCGTACGCGGGGTCGTCAGGTAACACGGGTCGGGGGGCTGGGTAGTTGGGCTGGTAGTAGCGGTAGGGGTCGTCCTCCTCGGCCTCACCGTAGTTCTGGAAAACGTTGGACGGCAGTTGCACTGCGGGGACAGCGCCGTCGTGAGTGTCATCCTCACCCTCTGCGTCGCCAACCAACCAGGCAGCGAGACCGCCAGTGCACCAGCCAGACAGGCAGACAGTCAGTGAGCGCCCAAAACAAAGATGGCCGACCCACCACCACAGGAAGCAGTGTTTGGGATTGGTTTAGATTTTGATTGGGTTAGCAAGACAGGAGGAGGGCGGGGCAAGAAGAAAGGAGCGAGAGAAACAGAAGGACAAGGGTTACGAAGGGTTAACAAGAGTTACCAAGGTTATCAACAAATACCAAAAGTTACCAAAAGCTGCAGACGGTTACCAAGAGAAGTTTTATACAAACAGTTTTCAAATTTAAAGTTAGAATAAGCAACGAGTTCAATGAGAGAATATTGATGTCAACGTAGTTTAAAGCATTAGACTTGTTATCTGTTAACTCGCATTCGAACTGCCACAATTTAGCTCATTTAACGTCCTCGAGTGATCGAGTAAAGTAAAGTTATCTCAGTACTTCAGGTTAAAGCAACGTGCAGAACTCGTGCAGACGTCAAAAAACGTTTTAATAATGAGTCAGTGAAGCCTGCTGTTTGGATAAAGAGGCACCGGATGATCGTAATCTAGAAGAAGAAGTGAGGAGACGGAGTCAGAACAACGTCAGAGTTCTGTTCAACCAATGAGACGATAACTCTGGAGACACGAGAGTGTCAGTGAGACACTGAGGGTTGTGAAGAGGCCACAGACACAAAGACAAAGACAGAGGAGTGATTCATGCAGACGTTACTCACATGACGACCCCGCAGGCTGCGAGCTGCACAGCACGCTTTAGGCCGCTGTGCGACCTTTAACCTCAACACACAGTAAATATTACCACAGTCATGCTTTGACAGACGACTCCAGGAGGGTTTTCTTTTAGAGATATCGCTCTGAGAATGAACTAAATCTAACTGAAAAACTAAAACTGATTCATTCGCGTCAGGTTATTAAACCTCTTTTGTCACATTGTCCTGGATCCGGATGAAACGATATTCAGAGGACTGATATCTGAGGGACGCTGTAGTTTTAGTGAAGGAAAACCCTCCGAGCAGCGTCTGTGCAGACGAAGAGAAAACTTGTTAAGATGCAGAATTCAGGGATTTAAACACGCAGCTGCAGCTTAAAGGTTCTTAAAGGTTCTTAAAGGTTCCGTTTGAAAGTGTCGATAGAAAAGATCACTTTCCTCAGGATGTGAATCTGATTTCAAATGACCAGAGGATCTGAGTGGGATGGTTCAGACCTCTGCCTGCAGAGGGCGCTGCTGCTCAGTAACTGGTACATAGTTTTGAACTCATTTCTGATTTATGGACGTTTCTTCACGACAGACTGAGTTTTATTGATATTTGCGCAAATCCCAAAATCTCAGAAGTGGATTTCATGAATGATCTGGATGCAGTGACCCTTTAAGGCGACACAGCGACACACCCAGACACACACACATACAAACACAAACAGACACACACACACACACACACAAACTGAATTCTGTATCTTAGCGTGTGATTGTATTTGAGGTCGTTTCATCTTCAAATACTCGGCGGAGGATTTCAGTCACATGCAAACGTTTAACTCAGAGGAATTAAACGTTTCACCTTCATGCTCAAATCCACAGTTTGACATATTGAATATAAATATATTACAAACAAGCTGATTATATAATATATATTTACCACTAACATGATGTGAACAGACACAATAGAAAAAGTTAGGAATTTAAATTCTCCATGTTTCATACGAGCAGAGTTCAGGGATACGTACCTCCTACGTTGTAGCCCACACAGGAGTTGGGGTCACAGTACCCCGGGGGCCCTGCAGGGCCGACAGGACCAGGGACCCCAGGCCGACCAGAGGCTCCAGGATTCCCCGGTCGCCCTGATGGACCCTGGTTTCCTGGTCTGCCCTGTCCCTGAGGACCTGGGAGGAGGAAGAGGAGGAGGAGGAATGTTTAATCCTTTCTCCACCGTATGTGTGAATAAAGTGACCTGGAGTTTGGTTTACCAGGGGGTCCTGTGGGTCCTCTGGGGCCTTGGACTCCGACTCCTTGAGATCCCTTCTCCCCCTTCTCTCCCGGTTGACCTGTTGTCAACGTTGAAGAAAGTGAAATTGAAACTCTGTCAGCTGAGATCCAGATCTTTACACTCCAGGTTTTCCTTCCGTCCATGTGAACTTTAACCCTCGTGTATCTCGTGGTCCTACCTCTTTCTCCAGGTTGCCCATTCTGCCCGCTCTGTCCTGGGAATCCGGGTCTTCCTGACGGTCCCTGCTCTCCCTGGGTCCCTGGGGGTCCCTGGCGACCGGGCTCTCCAGGGGGCCCTGGCACGGTGCGGATGGACACTGGCGGACTGGGCACGTGGTTCAGGATGGAGTTGTATCGCGCCATGTGGCCTGAAAACAGAGCGGGGGGTGAATAACACGTGAACATACAAACCCACAGATCACGTTTGAAACTGTCTGAGAACTAAACGCTGTTGTTACTCACTCTGGATCAGCTGCTCACACACCTGCCGGGCGATGGCCTGAACCGACGCCGACGACTGCAGGTCGCCCTGAAGACACAGTTTCTACTTTTAGTATCCTCAGATCTGAACAGTGACTGAGGTCTGAGCTGCTGCATCGGCCACCACACACGTGGAGGTGACAGTTGTTACATGTCACATGGTTTTAAATCTGCAGGTGTAGAGTCAACTTTACTTTACGACTTCAAATCTGTCAAACCTCAGCTGGAAGGTTCTGAGAGTAAACAAAGTACAAACTTCTGCTCTGGATCTTCGGTTCTGTCCTGAGAAACAATCGGATTATTTAAAATTGAGTCTTAACTCCTCTGCCTGACGGACGGAGACACTCACCCGTTCACCTTTCTCTCCCTTGCCTCCAACAGGACCCTGCAACAGAGACGAGTTGATGACACCAGGGAAATAAAAACAACTCGAACTGTTGAAGTCTGAAGAAACAAACCGCTTCAGGTTCCTGAGTTCGAGCAGGAACGAAAACAGAAACACAGAGATTCTCCAGTTGAGCCTGATCGTCACATTCTGACATCACAGACACTAAAGCTTCTAAATCCAGACTTTGATTTTATCATCTCAGCTGCAACTGATAACTCTCAGTC